AAAAATGCAAAAGAAAAAGAAAATCAAACAGAAATATATAAATCAAATCAAATCAAATCAAATCAAATCAAATATATTACATGAATTTTAAAGTACTTCTAAGGCCAAATAAAAAATAAAAAAACATGTTTAGCGTCCTGTTTTTTCCGAAAAATAGGAAGGAGGAGGCCCTTTTTTTCTTCTTTTTTTTTCTTTCAAAATGGCCGCTCAAAATGGCCGCTTGGTACATTTTCCCTGACAGTCGGGCTATTTTTCAAGACGGCCGCCAACATTCTTTTTTTCTTTTTTTTTTAAAATCATAAATAGACCCATTTTGGCAGTGTTTTTCATGTTTTTTTCTTTAAAAAATAAAAAAAATAAAAAATAGGAGGCGGCCCCCAAGAAGGAAGCGAGCGGGGACGCCAACCATGTATATTTTTTTTAATGGCCTAACAGCCAGGCATTCAGTACAGTTCTTTCTGATGTTTTTGTAAGTTGAACTTTCACATGCATATTGCCATTTTTTAGACAACAACTTAAAACAAAACAATAACAAAAAAAGATGAACAACGTACCTGCACTGCAAGTCATTTGTTAGAATAGTCTAGCTTCATAATCAGAAAGAGACAACAATGCAAGCTCACAAACAACATTATTGAGTTTTTGGTTCTGCTATATAGCTTATTATAATAAACAGAACAATGGCAAATTTCTGTGTAGCATCGATCATCAGTATTCAACTTCATCTTCAAATGACCATGCAGGAAATTGACTGGAGTATTAACGGTATACTTGCGTCCATTGACAAACAACATTATTCAGTTTTTGGTTCTCCGGATTATACTAATAAAAAAGAACAATGGCAAATTATTATGTGTGGAGCATCGATCATCAGTTTTTAACTTTGTCTTTAAAAGTCCATGCAGGAAATTGGCGGGAGTATCAACGGTATATTTGCGTCCATTGACGAGGAGCGGGGCATGGCATGGTGATGTGTCACACACTCCTTAGCTTCCTCAGTGTGGCCCGGTGTCATTGAGGAGACGGAAGTGTCAGTCTGTCTCTCGATTTTACTCTCCCTAAATGGGTCAAAGATATATATACATGTATTTGATCCTTGAAGTGTGTCCTGCACGGTAAAGGTTTCCTCTATACCTCTCTGGGATTTGTTGACCACAATGATGCAGTTGCCTATGGCTATACATGTGCAAACAAAGAGCACAAGCATCATATGACCAAGGAGTATATCCTTGATGTGACTAACTTCAAACTACTGATAGAGAAAAAGAAGGAAAATAAAAGGCATGCATGAAACTTTTTTTGATTGTGATTCATATTCGCAAATGTCGTATGCTGAAAAATTGAATTACAACTCATATGTGACTTATTGCAATTCATGAATAAATGCTGTTGTTTTTGTACAAACGGCTATCATTCTCATATTATGAAACATATGAATGCTGCAAAAGTTTATAGTTTTATAGTTTGTTATTCTTTCTCTGATTTTGTGTACCTAACAAATTTTGATTATTTGATATGAAATTTTGGAGTAATGATGTTGATAGTAGTGGCTGTTTGGTGCTTTTATGAGAAGTACCGTAAATCTCTGTGTATAAGGCGCACCTGTGTATAAGGCACACCCCTATTTTGGGGGCAAAAAAAAAGAAAAAAAGAATTGTTTTTTGTTTTGTTGTTGTTGTTGTTTTGTTGCCGAAAACCCACGCGGGGAAGGGCCTTCATTTTACATCGAGATGCAGTTGAAGTTGTGAACTTGTCACAAATAATAGTAACAACAGTCTAAGGCTTCATGATACCAAGTGTCCCACACCAGCCTCATCACATCACCTAGCAGAAGCACTGTGTTCTATGCCAAACATATAATAGTCATGCATGATATGAATAGCATCCTCTATCCTTCTAATAATGGAGTACCTAGGATAGAACCTTGTGGTACACCATTTGTTATAGAAAACATAGGAGACACTGCCTGGCATAGCGCCATAAATCAAAACTAAAAAAAAAAAAAAAAAAAAAAAAATTTCTGTACCTGTGTATAAGACGCACCCCCGACTTTCAAATTTTTTCGGCGGCAAAAAAGTGCGCCTTATACACGGAGATTTACGGTATGAAAAAGGTAAGAAAAAAAATCTTCACCAAACATAGCTTCCATGGAAATAAACAAACATATCTTCTGTTGAGAGCCAGAAAGGTGTTAACTCTATGGAAGTGTATATGAAGTTTAACCCTTCTCCCTCTCGGTAGAAAATACAAGCTGCTTTGTATGATTTGCAACCCACTGACTACTGAATTATCTAATTCCCATAGGCTTAACACAGGGACCACTCGGTCCCAGGAAGCATAGGGTTAATTCACCATCAGGAAAATGGCAGCTATATCTGCCCTGATGCTAGTATAATTGTGTCTGTTTTAGCCATGGAGCTGTATGCAGTGCAGTCCTTGACATAACTGTCACCTTAAAAATTCATTTAGTCTGAAAATGTCAAAACTTCAAAGTTCAAATGCAAAACCATGGGAAAATCATTTTGAAGCTAGCTCCATGGGAAATAAATCATTGATCACAATACAGTATTTGGACACTGAAAGTACTTCAGAGTAGAGTCATAACCAATGGGCTTCCTTGTTGTCTTTGGGCATTTCCTTTGTGGTTCATTTAAAAGGACAGTTTCCAGTGGGAGTTCCAGATCCATGTTCCAGATGCGGTTGTCAGAATAATAGAGACTAACCTGTATAGAAAGAATGTCAAAGGGATTCAAAAAAAGTCTGTTGATGATCGTTTTACCTGACTGCTAAGAAAGCATGTATATGCTTGTAAGTAAGCAACCATAGGACTGACAGCTTTAAAGTCCTATCTGAGGGACTCGGTAATGATGATTAGTGCCTACCAAAGGACACAAGCACAGGGCACAAGCCCATTGACTTGGTTTCGAACCCAGGACCTTCCAGTTACAAGACCACTGCTCTACCACTATAAGCCACTGTGCCTCTTTGTGGTCTAGGGATGTTTTATTTATACAAAATATCAAAGGAAATGAAATGTGTTCCCAGTAAAGTAGTATTTACTCTAGTTGAAGTTGCAGCACAGCTGTAGAACCGCTTCAAACCTATCCTCTGTCTGGAACAAAATCCTGGAAACTCTCCTTTGAATGAACTACAGAGGAAATTAATGCCCAAAGACAACAAGGTATAGTTCATCGGTCATGGATGTACCTACTCTAAAGTACTTGGTGTCCATATGCTATACTGGCAGTAATTTCCCATCCCCATCCTCTCTAGCTCTTCTTCCTAGCTCTCCCTTTCCACCAATCTCTCAGGTGGTAATAGGAGTCATATGACAATCGCTTCATGGTCAATGTTCAATACCAATCAGATTCTTGACTCTATGCCTGAATTAATCCCTACCCTAAACCTGACCTAAACCTGACCTAAAAATCCATTACAACCCTGTTAACCCTAATATCGTTTGTTTGGAGCCAGAAGGGCGATAAATCATATACCCTAAAGGCTTGCTCAGATATGGTGTAGTAAACCATGTTAAACTGCCGCAAAAAAAGCCGCTGCAGATTTTTTTGTTTACATGTAAAGTGAATGGCAACTGCGTGCACGTATTGACTGAGCTCTGTGTTATAAGATACACAAATGTGAAGTGTTGACACTTTTAGTCACCATTAAAACAAACGCTGCAGTTTTGCATCATATCTGAAAGAGCCTAGTTAACACCCTTCTGGCTCCGAACAGACAATATCATTGATGAAATGAATCCTCTTTAAAATAGCTTGTCTAATTTGCCATTCTTGGATCTTTAATAAAGAAGAAAACAAACAAACTTTCTTTTTATTTGCCAGCTTTTAAGACAAAATAAAATAAAACATTTGGAATGAATAGTCATCATCATGTGCACTAAGTTTTAAAACTCAGTAGCACAATCTTTTAAGCAGAGCCCAACATATTTTATTTCTTTATGTCATGGCCTTGTCCTTTTGCTATTAAAGAAGATAACATGTTAATACTTTTTTGTAACATATGATGTCAGCTGTCTGAAAAAACTCAAAAATATTACATGCTTCATTAATTCTAAAATCTCACCCTCTACTTTCTGGCTTATACTTCATTTTCATCTTGTAAAAGATCATTCTAATCTTCTAGAAATTCCTTTGGTTTTCCTCATGAAGATTCTGGAAGATTATTGGACTTGATGACTGATGTGTCAACTGTCCAAAATTTTCTTAATAATAGCATTACAAAATTATAAGCATGAGATAGCTCATTCTTTATGGATTCGATGCCAGACTTGTCCCACATGACATTGACTAGACAAAGCATTTTAAAAAGTAAATCATCAGTATGTAAAATATAAGAAATGCAAAAGAAGTGAAAGAAATGCTTTCAGAAACAACTAACTCTATTTTTGTGGAACAATATCAAAGAAATGCCTTTGCAAAGTAATAACCAATAACTTTACTTTTACATAAAACAGAATGAAAGAAATGCATTCTTAAACTGAAAACTCTATTTTTGTAAGATTAAACAAAATCAAATAAATGGCTTGTCAACTTTTCAACCTGATAACTCTATTTTAAAGCAGACAGAATTTACGCAATCTCAAAATATGAACTGTGCAATGACTGAGCTTTTTACTTTGTCTTCATCATCCCTCTTTATGGTTAGTGATTCATAAAATTTGATTATGACAAGTTCTATTATTTTCACCGAAAGCCCTGCAGGGTCAAAAGGGAGTATATGGAATCACTTGTAATACAGATTGACAGGCAAATTAAGGTGTATGAACTAATTGGCCAAACCATGTGATTTACAAATGTAAGTTCTTTGTCAAAGCTATACAGAACTCCCCCTAATTCTGTAAAAGGTTGCCCGGTTGATAGTCTTTCATTTGTATGCCATTGGGTGTGCTAAATAGGTGTGGACTTTTGATCTTGTGTTGAGAGAGAGAGGGAGGGAGGGAGGGAGGGGGAGGGAGAGAGAGAGAGAGAGAGATAGAGAGAGGGAGAGAGAGAGAGAGAGAGAGAGACGATTTTTGTTTCCGTATCGCATTCAATCGAGGATCCGTAGCGCAAATTTGTATTCAAATGCACGGGGGAGAGGGCACCTGGGTCACAGTCGGTGAATGCCGCACTCATGCAATTGTTTACGTAGCGCACAAATCCTCACAAATCCCATGGGACGCCACATAGGCAACTCGCTAGACGCGCCCTCTCCGGGCGCTCGCTGTCATGTCGTGTGAGCGTCATTCGAATCTACAGCGCGAATATCTACCTGGCTTGAGTTGAGATTTTTCTCTTCCAGTGCTGGTTACAACATTTCTTCAGACCGGTAAGACATGTTTTTATCAAACTTAAAATAACTATAGTGATTTTTAAATACTTTTTTGTTATATCTATTCATTTTGCAACAGTCGTTGTAACTGTTAGTGTAGCATTTAAGTGTTTGAAAAGCCGAGCTCCCGGTTCTACTGCGCCAGCGAGCCAAGTCCCACACTTGCATTTCTGTGTTGTATTTCCGCTTTCGGTTGTTTCTAGATCCTAAATTGGGTTTGATTCATGATACTTAGCTTATTTTGCAATCAAACACACCTAATTCATAATGATTACAAAAATCAAGATGCAGCCATGCCAATCAGTAGACTCTAGATCTAGATCTAGAGTCAATTCATTATCAAAAGTCGGCGCTAGTCGTGTAGGTCTAACAGTAACAGTAACAGTTAGTCTACATCATACATGGTCTAGATTATCTAGGTCTAACTGTTAGATTCTACTTTCTTATCCATTTTTTACCCGAAACTCCGGCGTGGAGAAAAAAATTAAACTAAATATTCATCAATTATTCAAATAATGGTCATGATTTAAAAGTTGTTGTGTTTCTTATCTGTTTCATGTCAATTTCGAATGTAATTTAGAGAGGGTCTAAGTGTTCCGTATCGCCAATAATTATTGTTTTCCATTCTCCGTATCGGCAACAAAGTCTTGACAAAAATAATTGTTTTTAGTTCTCTGTATCGGCAACAAAGTCTTGCCAATACTTATTGTTTTCTGATCTACTTATCAGCGTTGAAGTCCTGCCAATAATTGTTAATTTAGGATTTCCGTATCGGCAACGAAGTCTTGCCAATAATTATTGTTTTTACATCTCCGCAGCGGCAATGTAGTCTTGCCAATAATTATTAATTTAGGAGTTCTGTATTGGCAACAAAGTCTTGCCAATAATTCTTGTTTTCTGATCTTTGTATCGGTATTAATTGTCCAGTCAGGATGCAACCTCTTGCCCCTCTGCCTCCCTGACTTGTATATAATGAGAATTATTATTAAAGAGTACGAGTACATGTACAAGAAGATAAACCTGGAAGCTCGACTGCTGTCTCAGCATTCTTCCAGTATTTGCGGTAAAGGTAAAGGTAAAGTTAAATAATGAAGTCCAGCCAATAAATATTCATTTAGGAGTTCAGGATCGGCAATGAAGTCTCGTTAATAATTATTGTTTTCCGTTCTCCGTATCGGCAACAAATTTTTACCAATATTTATTGTTTTCTGATCTACATGTACGTATCGTCGTTGGAGTCCTGCCAATAATTATTAATTTAGGATTTCCGTACCGGCAACGAAGTCTTGCCAATAATTATTGTTTTTACATCTCCGCAGCGGCAACGTAGTCTTGCCAATAATTATTGTTTTCCGTTCCCTGTATCGGCAACTAAGTCTTGCCAATAATTATTGTTTTTACATCTCCGCAGCGGCAACGTAGTCTTGCCAATAATTATTGTTTTCTGATCTTTGTATCGGTGTTAATGAAGTCCCACCAAAAATAATTCATTTAGGAGTTCAGGATCGGCAATGAAGTCTCGTTAATAATTATTGTTTTCCCTTCTCCGTATTGGCAACAAAGTTTTGCCAATAGTTATTCTTTTTAGATCTTCGTATCGGCAACGAAACCTTGCCAATGAATAATTATTGTTTTTCTGATCCCCGTAGCGTTAATGAAGTCCCGCTAATAATTATTAATTAAGGAGTTCTGTATTGGCAACAAAGTCTTGCCAATAATTCTTGCTTTCTGATCTTTGTATCGGTATTAATGAAGTCTTGCCAATAATTATTCATTTAGGAGTTCTGTATTGGCAACAAAGTCTTGCCAATAATTCTTGTTTTCTGTTCTCCGTATCAGCAATGAATTCCTGCCAAAATTAATTGTTTTAGCTCTCTGTATCAGCAACAAAGTCTCTCCAATATTTATTGTTTTCTGATCTCCGTATAGGCAACAAAGTCTTGCCAAAATTATAGTTTTTGTCTCACCTGCGTAGCAAAAAGCGAGACATAGGTGCCGCTTTTCCGGTGATGGCGGCGGCGGCGGCGTCAACATCAAAAACTTAACCTCAGGTTAAGTTTTTGAAATTTTAGTATAATTTTGAGAGTATTTAAAGGGATAGTTGAGTTCTGTTTTCAGACCGCAAATGCCTTCAAAGTGCATGGTTATTGCTCTTATTCTTATCTATGACATTTCTATAGTGCCCTTTTAGAACCTGAAATTACTATGAAGGTAATTTTAGACCCCAAAATGTGTGAAATTTAGCCAATACGAGTATACCAATTCAGCTCCACTTTAAAAAAAAACATGGTGACCGTTCGTTAATTAAATATTTAATTAAAAATAACAGTACATGGGCCGGCTGGTTGTGCGTAATATAAGCAAAACAAAAATGCCCCCCCCCCCAAAAAAAAAAAAAAAAATCAATATCGGCATTGGCTGAAATACGACGTAAAAGGCGTTATTTAATTTTTTTCAACGTTTTTTTCAAATTTTTCAAAATATCTAATATTTGTGTACGTGGTACACAAGTATTAGAAATTGTTATATTTTAGCCGTCTCTGAACCGATTTTGATCAAACAAACATGATTTTGTCATTTAAATATTATGTTCTTTCAAATTTGACACTGTTTCATTATCTCACTAACAAATTATTTTGTGTAGCGCCCTCTGCAACAGAACTCGACTATCCCTTTAAGTTCTTATTCAATGAAACTTGGACCAAATGGTTATCAAGCATCCCCAGTCATATGAGTTGAATTTCAGGTAACAAAGTCAAGGTCAAAGGTCATTACAGGTCAACAGACTTGGACTATGTTGTGGCATCATCATCGAAAACTTAACCTCGGGTTATTCAATGAAACTTAGGCTAAAGGGTTATCAAGTATCCCCAATCATGTGAGTTGAATTTCAGGTCACTAAGTTAAGGTCAACAAACTAATACCCCTTTCAAACTGGCCTGATTTTCATCGGATGCATCCGGACGCATACGATGAAACGGCCACTATGAATGCTACAGAGGAGAAAAAGTCGATTAAATAGCCGATGAAAAGAAGAGAAATAGGCGATTAAATTCTCCTGCTCAAGAGCAGGAGAAATTCTCATTCTATCGGTGTGACACCGATGAAACAGCCACTGTGAATGCGTTTGGGAGAAAACAGCGATTAAAATGGTCTAATGTCGCAATATGCGCGCTTTATCGTAACCAGCTGTGTTTGTTGACTTTTTGTTGAACATGCTGCATGCCAGCTATATGGGGCGCGGGCTTAATAATTACGTAATAATTCTTCACTTCCGGCAAGGGCTCGCCACAGCGAGTGAATTTCATCGGCAGTATGAAAGCGACAGCAGGCAAAACGGCGGTTTCACCTTTGTTTTCATGAGGAAAATTCAATCTGTATTTTCATTGGTGTGACTCCGATAGAAGCCAGTTTGAAAGAAGTATTAGACTATGTTGTAGCATCAACATCAAAACTTAACAAAAGGTTATAATTTGAATTTTTATCATAATTTTGAAAGTATACATTAATTCCTTTTCCATGAAACTTGAACATAGGGGTTATCAAGTATCATCAATCATTTGATTAGTCTTTTAGGTAACAAAGTCAAGGTCAAGTGTGATTTAAGGTCTGCAAACTTAGACTTTGTTGTGGTATCAACCTCAAGATTTTGAATATTTAGCATAATTTCAAAAGCGTTTGTTCAAATTCCATGAAACTTGTACACAAGGGTTATCAAGTATGACAAATCATATGACGCAAATTAAAGGTCACAAAGTCTAGGTCAAAGGTCATTTTAGGTCACTAGACTTGGATTATGTTTTGCACAACTTAATATGAGAATTAGTCAGTTTGTATTAATTATTCCATTAAAGTTATCATTTTTGGTACAAATTATAGATAATAATTTTTCTGATGAACCGGAAATATATCGGCCGGGTCATGTCGTATATTTTTAGTTAGAATGCATGAACGTACTGTTTGGTTCTGATATAAAACCTTAAATCTCTGTAAATTTCGCCTTTGCAAATAGGGAATAAAAACTTTGATAACTGTACATACATGTAGGAGAAAAATATACATATTTTGTTTCATCTTAGATCTAAATTGATTAGGAAAAAGGGGAAGAAAGTTATAGTACCAGATGTACAAAATCAGCTCAATCCCCTTGTGGGAGCCGTATGGGGAATGTTGACAAATGTCAGTTGTATTAAATAATGCCCAGGGGGGGGGGGGGGGGGTGGGGTGGGGGGTACTCACATATTAAGACATACAGGGGTGTGTCGCTCTAATGGGTAACTTTTTCACAAAAAATCCCTAAACATGGGTCCCACTTTTAACAAAAATACCATTAAAATTGTTTCCATGCAAACACCTGAAAAACAACCAAAATATTTGAAAAATGCCTCAAAATGACCCCTAATAATGTGTATGGGTTTCAAGGCTTGAGCGGCACACCCCGTCCAAACCAAATCTGAGTATTCCCCAGGGAAATAATGACCCATACCAGATGGTTATTTCTGTCTATTAAGTCTTGACTATACTTATATATTATAGTTATAGACCCTACTACCGGTAGTTTATTATCTTTTTTAGTATTAGTATTAATAGCATTAGTCTAGGCTAGTTTTATACAAACATAAATAACAATTTAAGTCATATCCCAAAAACTCATCTGTGGAATATTTCGCAATTGTTTTAATGATTTGGTCATTCTTAAGATTCTGCCCAACTCAAGTCGAATTTCCAGAACATCCTAAAAAATACTCCAAAAATAAAATGAACACAAAGATACTAAAACGATCAAATATATATCTTCTTGAAAGACTTGATGCAGAATAATTAGTCCAAGGTCGATATTGAAGCTCATTTGATTGAATTTTTGGCGTTTCCTCATGACATTGCAATCCTTTTTCTAACCGTGTGTAAGTATGGCAGCCGAGAAGAGATATCGCAATATAGATTGATAGTAATGACCGATTGCAGTCACCTGTACCTCTCTGCTAAACTTTAAAGGTAAAGACCAGTTTTGGAAACGCCCCCCTCTCAAGAAATGAAACGGAAGCTCTTATTACCAATCATGTGAAAGAATATATGTTTTGACTAATACGTGATACAAATTTTGCTGGGAAACCGCCTACTAATTGATATATTTGGTACGCACGTGTCGCGTTGTCCCATATTCATCTTTCTGTGTACAGTGCTTGTAATTTTACCAAGACTGGGCCAAATTTCTTATAATTTTGATGATTCCAGAACCTTGCAGTACACACCATGATCAACCTTTTCTGATCGATTCCACCACGTTTCTTTCACAATGCAATCGCATGACCAGAACTGATCTTTATCTTCAAGAGAGAGATACTCAGGATCCAGCTCCGTTAAGCTACAGATGTCTTTTTAGCTGCACATAGTTCATTGTAGACCTTTTATTGAGACACTGTTCACAGCACCTACATCAGTACAAGAATATACTCGACGGCGGCCTCTAGTTAGTACTATTTTTCAATGAATCTGGCAAATAATTCACCATTTTTTTTTTTTTAATTGTGTGTGTTATTGACAGTATAAATGACTATTCAATTCCTGTATGATTTGCTTCTTAAAGGTACTATGTCCCTTTTGCAGCCAACCTCAAATGCTGTAGAACTTTGCAGGAATTATGAATATGTCATGTATGTCCTATCTGTGAAATTTAAACGTTAGCAGTGTCCTCATATTCAAATTATGCAAGGAAAACCGTTTACTTGCTAGACTTCACTGTCAGACACTATTGAGTGACTGACTGGCTTTTTTTCTTCTTTGGTAATAACATACATGAAAAGAGTTGTAAAGGGTAACATGAGCATTTGTCTACACCAATAACCCACTTCTTGTGATGGCCAAGATTAAACTGATTGAATCTTTGCGCAGCATAAAACGTATGACCATTCGGTACAATTGTCTGAAAATCAAGACTGTTACTTTTGGGCTCTATAGCCCTAAAGTCGATTTGACAACTAATAGTCGTTATTTTCCCACTTGAAGACATTTTCAAGCCCCACCTTTTTTAGGGAAGTTCTAAATTAGTATTATCTTTCAAATGCCGTTGGAATTTAACTTTTTCATTTTTTGGGCCTGCAAATGGGACATAGTACCTTTAAGTGGTTTCTAGTTAGATTCTCAATTTCTTTAATTATATTCTAATTCTTTGACAGGGGGAGCAAGCTAATTGTTGAGCTAGTCATTGGAGGAGGTGAGTGTCAAGTACATGTAGAGCATGATTGTATACATGAGTTGTTGTCACATGGAAAGTGTGTATTGCAGGGTTATATTTGGTCCTTTGACCATTTCTAGGTGTACAAGAAGGGAATTTCAGGCATGGTCCTGATTCTGAAATTATCATTAGTCCACCTGTCTTAGTGCATATTCAATGAGATTTATTGCGTATTAAAAATTGATGGGGGAAAAACATAAGAAAATTATAAAGATTATCATACATGCAAGGAATATTAGAAAGAAAACAATAATGAAAGGAGTACAGTCAAACATCAACTTATGGAATAATAACAAGAGAAGACGAAAGAATGATAAAAACAAAGACTAACTTAGCAAAGCTCAGATTCAAATACATGTATCGTGGAATATGCCAGTTTTTCTTTGATAAGCGCTTGTCCATCTGTCCTGGCCCAACTTAACTCATTCCAATGGAAGGTTCTCAGAACCATTGGAGTGAACAAAGTCACTGCCTTCACTAGTCTTAAACATAGACCTGAAGTTTTCTACAAAATACAAACTACCGGTATCCTGAAGACCTTCAAGCATTGCTCATAATGATGTTTACAATACGTAGAAATACCCAAGCTAGAATAGCTACACTTGACCAAAGTTTCTTTCACTCTGCATTATGATTATGAAACAACCTTCCTAACTGTTGAAGATCAAGATTGACGGTGTCTAGAGCTTAATAATTTCAGAGTTTTTAAACTTCCATTACCTTTTAGGGTGGGATGGACAAATGTATCATATATCTGGCAGGGGCAGTATTTGGCTAGCGTAAATACACATGTATAGGTGAATCAACTGGTTTATTACAGCACTTTTGATTTGAGCTGGCTGGAGTGCTTCCTTAAACTGTCAGATAACAGTCGGGGAGAATGACCTGGTGATGTTTATTTCTTAATTTGTTATTTATTTTTATTCTAGGATGGTCAAGCTTACTATTATATCTAGTTGGCTTTTGTGTCATGCAATGTTGCCTTTCTCTGTACACTTCCATACTGTCACCTTGTATGTTCCACAAATTGCTTTATGGTACATGTGTTAGATATCGTCGCTGTTTTCACGAAGTGACGGTAGTGACAAAAAATTGCATTCACTTTGCGTTACGATTTTCCTCACTACCGTCACTTCGTGAAAACAAGGACGATATGTATAGTTACTCTTTATTTGAATAGATTAGTGATTCATAAATCATAACATCTGAGCAGCAGCTAACCAATTTGATTCACATATGTTGGGGCTCTCCTTACTGGGACTGCTGGTGTGACAAGCTTTTAACAATTATCTGTTGATACCTGAACCTGAAAAACTTTGGAAATACTAGAAGAATAGATTAACTCATGTTTAAAAGCAAAGGAAAACACGAAAAGATAGATAAAGGTTAAAGACGGTTGAAAACAAAGGATTACATAAGTAAAGATAGACATTCAGAATTACCAGAGAAAAGGTAAAAGGAGAGGCAAAAAGAGGTGCTGAAAAGGTCACAAAAGATAGAAAAAGGATAAAATCTCATGAGCTTTATATTTGCATCAATGATACTGATGGTCTAGCTTTGAGCTATACTTATGCGCCAACAAATATGTTACTATTATTATTATTATTATAATTGTTATTACACATGTAATCATGTATTATAAATCTCATAATAATATCAATGATAATTCACTTGGAACAGGGGTGGTCCCTACATGGCTAGGGTCAAAGGTCAGTTAGGAGCAATTGGATCAATTGTTGCATTTTGGTGAAAGTTAATATATATAAGTGCTGCTCATTTCCCTGATTTTCAATATTTGTGATTAAATTGCATTAGATAGTTGTTGTTCTGTCTTTAAAAAAACACAATTTATTCCCAACATTTATTGAAGATTGATATTATGCCTCCACATGTGATTGTAAAGGATCCTAACCCAAGCATATTCGTGCATTTACAAACTGCTAACAAAATTGAAGGCTCAATAAAAACAAAAAAATGGCCAGGATTTGTGGCATCACATACATGTATGGGACCACTCTCAATTGGTTTCAAATTTTCATTTTTTCTTCAAAAGTGGAATTCTTTCAGTCCATCTCCAAGAGCATTTTATGGTCCAAATAACCCTGCATGCCTACCTGACGAGTAAAGCTCACATGATCTTCCAAAAGACATAATTGTAAGAGCTGTCCAAAAATGACTACAGTAATTAAATCCAACTTAATTATACATGTATATGGAGTTGCCAATTATAGGTCCCCATAGAGATAGTGATTCAAAAAAATTCACTGATAATTTTTAACATTGATTGATTGCAATTTGTTGACTGGGTCTAGTTTTTCTTCAAGTTCTCTTTCCATTGTCAGAATAAAAATGTTAATTTCATGCTTGCAGAAAGATCACCCGTTGCCTCTGAAGAGAAAGTACAAGATGGTTCAACCGTCGCGCAAACAAGGCTGTCCAGCTGCAAACGACATAAAGGAAGTTATAAGATTTCCTGACTTCAAGGTAATTTTCATTGTATCAAAAGATTTATGTTGATTGTAATCCTGATTTTACTTTCAGGCATCCCTATGATACATCTTACATGTACATGGCTTGGTGCTCTATCAGTCACTCGTTACTAGTATCGGGAGGTATTTTTTACCAGGTTAATACTTTGTGAGCACTTTCTTCATGAAACAAAATGCCAATGTCTATTCATTTGATGCAAATGAATAAAACCAATACACATTTTATGGCATTTCAAGCAATAAATGAAAATGTTGGGAATATTCGGCTGTATTGAACAAATATATGATGGAAAAGCAGAGAGATCCTTCATTCATTGAAAAAAGCTATTTAAATTACAGTAGTTCACATGGAAATTGTCACACATTGATTTCAAATATCATGTTTCACGTGTAAAGGGGACACCAAAAATGTTGGTATACCCTTCACACACCAAACAAAGTCTCTGTGGAGCGATTTTGTAATCATATATTTCTGTCAAAGAGAACTTTAAATTTGGATTGAATTAAACTTCCAATTTACAAATAGAATGAAAATTAAGTTGTATAAATAGCTTCATGTTTAGGTTATGTGGCTTCTTCTTCTTCTTCTATGTGCCATATCCTGAGACGTTGGCGACCATGGAGTGCCACAATTCTCTATCCCATATTCTATGAAGTAATTCATTCTCCCCGAGATCAATTCCACATTCAGAAATCCCACTCCTTAAGCTACTCATCCACAGAATCCTCCTTCTACCCCTACTCCTCCTCCCCTCTATTCTTCCAGTCAGTGCAAGATTTTCCATACCATTCTTCCGTATAACATGGCTCAAGAAGCTCAGCTGTCAACCTCTTATATTATTCAGAAGCTCTTGTTCCTGCCATGGCAACACCTCATCACTAGAAACTCTTTCTGTCCATGAAATTCTTAGCATTCTTCTCAGGAACCAAACTTCACAACTTTCCAGTCGCTTTCTTAGGTCTGATGTCAGGGTCCAAGCTAATTCACACCCATACATTAGAACTGGATACACGTAGCAATTGAGTACGCGGAGTCTCGTTTTCATCTTCAGCTTCTTATTCTTTAGGACGTTTTCTAACTTGGAGAAAGTTGATTTTGCAAGTGCAATCCTTCTCTTGATTTCTTGCTCGCCTCTTGCATCATCTGTAATTGTAGTCCCGAGGTAATTAACAGAGGTGGCTTGCTTTATTTGATTGTTGTTGATCTTAAGAGAGCATGGTATACCTCCCTTCTTTGAAATTACCATGCATTCCGTTTTCTTGTACTTTAATGATAATCCTCTCTTGTCACTTTCTCTAAAGACAACGTCCAAAAGTCGCTGCAGGTCCTTCTCTGATTCTGCGATTAATATAGGATCATCCGCATACCGTATGTTTGTGATATTATGTCCTCCTATCTTCAATCCTCTTTCCTGTTCTAGGTTTCTAAGTATCAACTCACTGTAATAATTGAAGAGATCTGGAGACATGACACATTCTTGCCGAACCCCCCTCTTAATGTTGATGTAGTCACTTAATTCTGTTTCCACCCTGACACATGCTGTTTGCTCCCAATACAGATTTTGCAGTAAATTTATATCCTTTGTGTCTAGTCCAATCTTGGTTAAGTCTTCAAATAACTGATCGTGTCTTACTTTATCGAAGGCTTTTGTATAATCCATGAAACACAGGAAGACGTCTTTCTGCATTTCTACAGCCCTTTCTGCTATAGACCGCAGAACAAAAACAGCATTTCTAGTTCCGGCATCCTTGACAAAACCAAACTGCACATTACTGATTTCTGGAGTTAGGTGATTCCTTGCTCTTTGAAGTAGAACTCGCAAGATGATCTTTGTGATATGGCTCATATGAGGCTGATGATTCTATGTTGCCCACATTCCACTGCTCCAGGTTTCTTGGGAAGTGTAATAAATATCGATTTGCACAGGTCATCTGGAAACTTTCCATCATCATAGATCTTATTGATGACTTCAGTTAGTTTCATGACACCATAGTTCTCCAATGCTTCGACCATCTCCATTATTACTCCATCAGGACCAGCAGCTTTGTTCCTCTTCATCATACTGATTGCAGACCTCACTTCTGAGAGCAGAATCCTAGGTCCTTCAATAGATCCTGCACAGTGTGGAGGTTCTTTTCTTACATCGTCAAAAAGCTCGCCAATGTACTCAGTCAATCTGTTCAGTATCTCTTCCTTTTCAAGCAGTACTGATCAATCCCTTGCCTTGATGCATCCCGACTTGGAGCTCCGAAGTTTCTTTCTTGAAAGGTCATTTACCTTCTTAAAAACCCTGGGATCGTTTGCATTAAAACTTCTCTCTATCTCGGCGCACTGTTTGTTCAGCCATTCCTCTTTAGCTTTTGTGCAGTGGTTGTGAATTTCTCTGTCCAACTCTCTGTATTGACTCACTTCCATCTCTGTCCTTGATCTTCTGCCTTTCACTCATATTTGCTCAAATCTCCTCCGTCATCCATCTCTGTTTACTTTTCTTTTCCTTTTTAGGTAATGTCTCTTCAGCTGTTTCCACTAGAATGTCCCTCATTGATTCCCAAGTGACTTCCTCTCCCTGGTCAGTGAGACTATCAAATCTGTTTTGTAATTTGACAGTATATCGGAGGCGAACATCACGATTCTGTAGCTGTTCAAAATCTACATTCTGGATTGACTTGGCTTTTGTCATCTTCTTTATAGCTTACATTGCAGGGTCCCACCTGTCGCACATGGGAAGGCCTACCGAGCGAGGCACCTCTATTTCTAGAGGTTCCCTTCACGCGGTTTCTCTTTGACTTTGAATTGTGACTTTCCATGGTATAAATTGGGAAGAATAGTGAAGGTGGTTTCCCGTTGCCTTCCTCACCGCAGTGTGGTGACCATCCATGTGAATACCAGTTCTGAGAGACGTTGTTGTCCCTGATAGGATCATCCGCCTGAACTCTCACTGCATCGCTGCTGCCCAATGCAGTCCCTTTTAGTCGCCTTTTACGACACGCAGGGAATATGTGGAGGGAATTCTATATGGCACCCACTCCCAGGCCATTTTGTGGCAGTCCACGAAAAACTGAATACAGAAGTGTATAAAAGCATAATTTAAGTTTTAGAGTTTGCGGACTCCAATAACTCCATAATCATACAGACACACATTTTGCTGCTTCTATTCAAATCACATCATCTGTCTTAATACACTTTATCATTCCTCAATCATCAGATTAATTGTACATTTTCAAATTGTTGACATGTTTCATGTGTAAAAAGGGACAACAAATTTCAGCAACCATGTGGTTATGCATATTGTTTTTCTTTTATCAAGTTGCATGCTACATTTAAAAATAACAATGTCAGCCTTTGTACTGTGTCACCCACAGTTGAGAGACCGTTGTTTTGGATTATGTACACATGTGATATCACAGTGCAATTATTATGCTGATGTCATCTCTCAAACACCGAGTCAAGTTATACTTTGACATTTGCAATAACGATTCACAAAACGCAGTTCTATTTAGTGTTCATTTATTTGCATGTTGACTAAAGTTCTCCATCTTCATGTTTAATTAACATTATGTTAAGTGCTTAGTGACCTCATCATTGATTGGAGGGGCACCATCAACCAACTTTGGAACAACAATCATTAAAAAACAGTTTTATATTGATATTAACTACATTCATACTATCAACTTTTTCAGTTGATCATAATTCTTGTTCCTGTTTAGACAGAAATTTGTATTTTGCAGCTGATAAAAGCATTTGTTCATTGTTGACTTAAATTGTCCATCTTCATGTTTAATTAACATTATGCTAAGTATTTAGTGACCTCATCATTGACGCAACAACGATCATAAAAAACACCTTGTTATATTGAAATATTACGTTCATATACTAACAACCTTTTCAGTTGATCATAATTCTTGTTCCTGATTAGACAGAAATTTGTATCTCGCAGCTGATGAAAGCATTTGCTTTTCTGTGCTCGGTCACAGAAGGTCCCGGATACAAATAGTCTCATAACCATTCATACAATGCAGGAATCAATAAGAATCTTGAAATAACAATTGTTCACCCTTCAAAACAAAAAGGGTGATGGGCAAATTTAGTTGAAGGTAAATCTCTACTTGTTTTTCAAGTTCCTACTGATTTCTGTATAAAGGGATTGAAACTAGCACAGTGATTTTTTTATAATGTGCAAAAATAAAATGTTGACAGCCCGCAGCAGGGCAAAAAATTGACAATCAAAATTACTAAATTGAAACTAGTTTTAAAAATACTTTTAATAAAGGAACTCGTTCAATTTGGATACTCTGTGCTAGTCCTGCGGATTTGTTGCTTAAAGGTGTGTGACCCAATATTTTTCTCATTACCCATCATACAAAATGTTACCCCTGAGAGATGTTTCCTTTTGAAGGTATTGGCAATAAAGTAGTGAATTGACCCCATCCCGGCCGCCCCCCCCCCCCCCCCACACTGTAAATTTGTGTTCTGTTTTATGGGGATAATTTAAGGAACCTTTTGCTTCTAACATTAGAACCAGTGGAGTAATTTCACTCAAATTTTAGAAGACTATTTTATGATGCTCCTTCATGTAGAATAGAAAGCATCAAGTGGAAAATTGGGTCACACACCTTACAATTATTAACTTTCAAGTGTTTAAAATTCCTTATCCTAATCCAACATTTGGTCTCATACAATAAAATTATGAACAAAGAATTACAGGTTAAAGATAAAGTTGAGTTCTGGTCATGCGATTGCATTGTGAACGAAAAGGTGTGGAATGGATCAGAAAAAGTTGATCATGTAGTATTGGTGTACGTGTACTGCAAGGTTTTGGAGTGATCAAAATCATAATAAATTTGACCCAGTCTTGGTAAAGCACTGTACACAGAAATATGAATATGGGAATACGCGACACGTGCGTGACATAATTATATATCAATTAGTAGGGTATTTAAAGAGTATTTGTTACCTGGGCAATAATATTTGTTTGCCCTTCATGATAATTAATTTAATTTTAATGTTAATATGTTTATTGAATGCACATATTGTAAGTTTCAAATCAAGGATTATGCTATGAACTATTATGATGTTGTTTTGTAATTTCAAAATTTATTCAAGAGTCTACATGGCATGCAGATCAGAGAAAATTGGAGACCTAGCTAGCTGGAACGTCATGGAAGGTTGGCAAGCTCCAGTCTGCCAGGCAAGAAGATGGACATTCCTGTGGGGCATTTGTCATGTTGGTAAGATTAACCCATCAGTTTAATTCTATGGATTGTTTCATGCTGTTTACAGATTAATTAGGAGATGTGGTCTTAAGATGTTCCATTGAGGACATAACCCTCCCCCCACCCCCCATGGGGGGCTTCAGTGACAGTTCCCATTGGTTGAGATGAGGAAATGCATAAAGGCCTAGATCCACTTTCTAGTTGCCAAATAGGCACTGCTAGCTATTTTGCAATTTAGTACAGTGGAACCTTGTTATAAAGAGCTCTGATATACCGAGGTACCTGATATAAGAAGATTCTTTTGCTGTCCCAAATTCTTATTAATTATGTCACTATTTTTGTATTTTAGATATGAGATGCCTGATATAATATGGTAATTTCAATAGAAATTCATGATTAAAATTTTTTCTTTTCTTTTCAAATTTCACCTATTTTTTCTTCTTGTTTTTTTCAATTTATTTTGCTGCAGAATGCTCTTGTTATTACAAGAGGGATTGATCCTCGAAACGTTGAGAAATATGCCAGAAACATGGAGTTAATGTCAAACTGACCACCAACGCTGTGCCCCCACCTAACCAGCGGAAAACCTGCGACATGGTTCAGTGTCTGGTGGCCCATTCAGAGAAACCACCGACCAGCAGTGCGACGTTTGTGGTCGCTGGCTCCATCTGTACTGTGTCTCAATCAGTGAGGCACCAGGGGAAGGTATTGTTGCGCCCACTATGCATAGTCATTGTGAGTGATGGAAAGCGTATGGTGAGACTGCACAACTTCACTTTAAGTAAAATTACCATCATGTTCCATGTATTATGTTCCATCGTAACCTTATCTGCACTTATAGGGCTAGGCAGCATCCATTTTTCTCCTTATCTCCTATCACACCTTGTGTGTTATGTTGTATGTGACCTAAACATCTTGTTACTACAGTTTTCATCAAATCTGGCTCTTTGATTAGATTGCAAATTAACATGATAATAGTTTAAATGAGATCCAATGTCACAGATAAAGAATGTCAAAATCTTTTATAGGAATAAGATGACTAATGAATGTTCAACTATCCTGCCTCCAGAGGAAAACCAATGAATGCCATGGGGGAAAAAAGTTTTAAAGTTTCTATCTGTGAGTGTTGAACCCACCTACATGTAGTTATCACTTTGGATTGTGCATTGTTTGTGCGCTTGTAGTAAACATGAAGGTACACTGTATGCACGAAACGTTCAGTGTTCCCCAAACTATGATAAAATATTCATGTACTGTCTGGTGACATGCAAACTTTGTTATGCTGCAAAGAAGAGATGATGAAAACAGCGTAGGTAGATGTATGGGGAGATGTTGATCTTTGCCGTCCAAACGTGTGAAAAGTGGCTTTTCTAACTAGCTTATATACCTAATGTCGCTGAGAGTTCTGAATCCGCCATACTGAGCTTTGACAGCCGACCCTACCCACAATACTAATGTTACTCAGAATTATGGACGTCTGTAATTATGAACAATTTTTTTTAAATGAATGGGTCTTTCCAAAGAAAATGTTACGGTATAATACTGTATAGTTGTGCATGCAGTTATGGTAGTGTCGAGGCACAAAATAAAACTTTTGCCTTTTCTTTCTGCCCCGTGTTGCCAAGTGAGGGAAATTTGACAGGTCAATTGTCTTGGGCAGTGATCTTAAGAATATTTACAAAGAAATATTTTTTATTTGTGTTTCAAGGCAGCATGTGCCTTAATAAATTAAATCAAACAATAGAGAAATGTGATAATTGATAGACAGTATTATAGAGTGACATGTCTCCATATTTGTAAATATATATTGAACTCTATTCGGTACATTAGCCGGACATACAAAAATATGGTGCAGAAGCAGGACCCTTAAATTGAAATTTGATTTATATTTTGCTCATCCCTAGCTTTGATGTTGAGGATTGATGTCCAAAACACTTTGTTTAATCATAAAAGAGAAATTTCGATACAAATTTTTATGCAGCCATTGATCAATCGGCTCAGTGCCAATTACTTACAATGCAGGTTTTAACAACAAGAATCAACTTTTTTTGTTTTTTGTTTTAGAATTGAAGAAAAAAGTAAAAATAGGTTTTAACTTATTTGTTATTATTGTTGTGAAATACTAGATATTGGCCACTTTATATTTTATATTGTCAGACTGGGCTATAATTATGTTTACCGAGGTCAATTGCTTTAAAAAGTTAAATTTATACAATCCAATACTTTGGTATCCAATCTTTGAAAGAAAATAACTTTTAATTAAAAACTAGTTCTGTGGTAAAGCACATTCTATTTTTTATCAATCCGATTTTTATCCAGTGTAAATTTAAGTTGATAGAGAAGTTATCTCACATAATCTTTGTTAAGTACATAAAAAGAACGTTCATCGGTTCAGTCTAGAAACTCCACACATAATCTTTATGATGCATTACCTGTTATTATAATGTGTAACTAAATGCCAATTAAATAACACTAAAACAAGCAAAATATTTTTCTGTGATCTTTATTTTGTTGAGGTTGTTGAAATTGATTTACATGTAAATGTTTATGTAGTTGAATGTTGCAAAATGAGCAAAAATTTGGTGGGAAAAAAACTTTTAAACATGCTTTTATCAAGGTTTATGGAATAAGCGGTCAGAAAGCAGTTTTTTTAAAGAAAATACAAAATTAGGACCATACACAAGAGGTGGTAGGAGCAGAACGAGAGGTCGGGTTTGTGATATGAAGGAGTGGGTCTGTGATATAAAGAACACAATGATAAAAGGAGCAGAACTACAGTAACAAATATTTTTACAAATATTTTAAACTGTTTAAAAAATTTAAGTAACGCTGTTTAAGACGGTCACTCTAACGACTATTGTTTAAACTGTAAAACAACCAAGGTTATTTAAAGCTTTTAGACATCTAGGTTGTTTAAACACACACAGTTGCTTAACATTTTTCAAATTTGTTGTTCAAAACATATATGGGATCATAAAAGACATTGCATCTTTCTCAGCCATAATACAATAGGATGTTGAGTGTTCAAGGGGGACTTGAGTTGATGGCTATGCCTCCGCCTTTCCACAAGAATAAAGACGTGCCTCCGGAGGCATAAAATAAACGTAAGTTACTAAAGTTGCAAAGTGTCTGAGAAAAAAGAATTGACAGTAGAACATGCCACACTGAACAATAGTAATTCTTATCATCAAGACAACATCAAATTTATTAACAATACAATTCCTACACATGTGTGACTCAATTTTAAAATTATTATATATGTATACATTACAAATTTGTATGTAATTAGAGATGGTAATAAGCCACTAGACCACAGAAACATAAATATTACAATATTCAATCTATTAATTTCATAAACGTTTAGATTTATTAAACTGGGAGAAGATTGGCAAGGTATGAGCATTATGTGGTGAATTAGAAATCATTATTATGGCTTTTTTCTGCAAAACATTTAATTTAGTAATGAAATAATCATGACCGTTTGACCAAGCAATATTACAATAATTAATATGAAAGAAAATTAGCACATAATATAAAATATCTATAATATGTCTTGGAAAATGTCTCAAATGGTAAATAATACCAACAAACTTGGCAACACGATTGCATACGACACCAACGTGTTAATGCCATACTGTTAAAGATTCATCAATATGCATGGTAATGGTGGTTTCATCATTACACCTTCAGATTGCATCAAAATTAAAATGCAGGAAATACATTTCTCCATTTAAAGTTCAACTGTAACATTGAAAAAGTGGCATGAGCAATTTATTTCAGGACAGCAATTATTTTGTTCTACTTGTAATTGCAGTAGCCAGCACATTGAAACCTACCGGTATCTGCTCTGACAAAACGTAAACAGAGTAGAAACTTTGATTATGAAATTACAACTTGTTTCATGGCACACCTACAGATGTACATTGTATTGTAATATACATAGAATGGTTATGATTTATTCTTATACAAACTTGAAACTAATTCTATAACAGAATTTAACAGCACCATTCAAACTTCAACTGCAACATCATTGATAAACTTGAGTTGGCTTGAGCAATTTATATCAGCACAGCATTTTTTCTCAAAATGTATTACTTGATAAATTATGCAATTTATAATATTGAATATTGATTGTAGAATAAGGAATTTGAAGACCTAATGTATAAGAAAGTGGAGTCTGCAGACATAGTTTGACTGGTTGCGCATACAGATGGGGGAAAAGGCTATTAACCCTTACTGTACTGGGCTCCCCCCCCCCTCCCTCAACATTTTTGGAGATTGTGCCGCAACCGCTTGGAATTTTGAATTGTCGTTTCATGAATTTTTTCCCTCGAGTCTTACGCACATTATGATACCATTTTCGTCGAAATCGGATATACCTGTAAGGTGTTACATAACAATTAGTATGCGCATGTCATCAAAAAGTGATATATAAATACTTTAGATGTATTTCTTCTAAGTGGGAGATATGAATTGATATCAAATTACTTTTATATGTTTCTCAAAGTAACTTGATGTATTCCAGAACAAAAGAATACATTAGAAATAAAACAATAGATATAATAAGAAATAAAAAACATTCAAATACATAAGAAAAGAAATATTAGAAAATCGCATCAAATTTGATTAAATTATTATTAATTACATCAAAATAATTATTTTGTGTTAGAAAAGAAGTTTCATATGAATAATGAGTTTCAACATTCAAAAAGTGGAGTCTGACAATTTTTGTAATGATTCTAGTTCCCTGTATATTTCCAGATTTGATATTGATGAATGCGTAATTTGCGTATTCATAACTTATGCATTTTCAAATATCATAAAAATAATGAAACCTCATGAATTTGAGATGAAGGAAACATTTATTCAATACATTTTCAAGATTCTTCACAAGTCTACAGACAAATATGAAGAGTTTTCTGTAAAATGCATAAAATTAGCATTTTGCATAATTAATTAGGCTATAACGACAAAAATTTGCATATGAGGAAAAAAATAATTATAACCATCTTGTTCCTTATGTAAATATCTATAAACATGCAACTTTTCGTGTTCATCGGACAGCCGAGATCATAGGGGGGGGGGGCCCTAGGAGGCCCCCCCCCCCAGTCAGTGAGGTGCTCAAAATAGCCCAGTACAGTAAGGGTTTAACAAGATGAACCTTTTTAATATTTCAAAGTTCAACAATTTTACCATGGCAGCAAGTTGAATTACATCGATAGACCCCATGTTTTGTTACACAGCCTTGTTAAATTGTCTCGACTTTACAAAGTTATATTCCAGTAAATGTATTACCAGTCAGACTTGTTAAATTGTCTCGACTTTACAAAGATATATTCCAGTAAATGTATTACCAGTAGGTCTTCAAGTGCCAATCTTATCTACCAATGTTCAAAAACTTACATAATTAAGAATTTTTTAAAATAAAATTGCTTTCGTTGTCAGATCTTTATTCACAAACCTGGAGTTTCAGAAAAGATAAATTCAAGTCTATCACTTACAATTTCTATCCAGGCTGTTAGTCTCATACAATGTAGCTGATGGAGCTCGACAGCTTACTTTTCTTCATTTGCCAAAAATGTGCGGAGCTCCCGCACAGATGTTGAAACTGCAACAGTTTTTGCTTCTGGCAATTACATATTCTGTAGGAACTCCCACATTCCTATGCAAGCAGCCTGGTACTGAACATCCGGCACGTATATCAGTTTAAAACAAAAGTCTACTGCCTTGGTCATTGTCTTGAACTCCAGTGCTTGTCTCTCCACAATTACAAAGAATTGAAGGGGGTTGATCCTTGAACCTATCACCAGAATGTAAGGCTGCGACATCTTGTTTCAGTCAATGCTGTTAAGATAGAATGTCATATCTGTCCCCTCCTGTAAAATACAAACATGAGAATGAACTTATCTTCAAGAATACCAACTCGATGAAATATCTATAAAATGTCCCTTCCTACAAAATTGTACTTTTTAACCTGAACTATACTGGGCTATTTTGATATGATTTTTGGAAATAACTGTTTAGAAAAATTTAACTTTGGTTTGTCTTTTCAAAAGTGGGTCTAAGTTGGTCAGTAGATCCTGTACAGTACTTAGATGGTTTGATTTGCTCATTAATGGTTCGTTGATTTTTAAAAATGAAGAAACTGAACCAGTAGATTGTACTAACTTACTTGAAATTCCTTATTTTTAATTTGGAAGAGTGTTTTTACTTAAAACAGTGATTTGAGCAGCAAACGTTTTAAACATTCATTCAAATCTTCTCTTAAACTGTAACTATGACCAGGGGCGGCTTTTTTTTTTTCATGACCGGGAAGGGGGGGGGGGGGTGGGAGCAGTGGCGTAATGAGCAAAAATGTAATGGGGGGGGGGGCATAACAAAATCTGCATCACCACCACTCTTACATGTTACGCATGCGCTGGCATGTTTTTTCAAAATAGGGAGGGGGGGGGGGGGGGAGGGAGGGGAATAAAATATTTACGGTCAGGTAGGGCAAAGCGAGCGAAGCAAGGGGGGCGTAAATTGGCGTGGAGTCCAGGGGCAAAGTCCCAGGGGGGGGGGGGTAAAGGGGCAGAGCCCCATGAAACTCAGGGGTTTTAGGCAATTAATTAAGGTCAGATGAGCATCCCGGGGCAGAGACCCCGAAGCTCGGGGGTTTTAGGCATTAAATTACGATCAGATGAGCATCCAGAGGCCGCCTTAGGGACCTTGGTGGGGTCCAGCGGGCAGAGCCCCTGAAGCTCAGACATTTTACACATTTAATTACGGTCACATGAGCACTCTCTTGAAATTCCTTATTTTAAATTTGGAAGAGTGTCTTTACTTATCAGTGATGTGTACAGGGACCTAGTCAGATATATACTTGTCTAAAATCATGTCATTGGCCCTATTTTACATGCTCTGGCCCCTTACAGAGTGTTGCCCCCAAACATTCAGCCACTTATTTATCTGGCACTAATAGCAACAATACCGATGTTGAGCTAGCCCCTAATATTAGATAGCCTAAAATAAAAAGTCAATTGACGACTGTGATCTTGATTTACTAAAATGTAATTGGATCATCTTCCTATAAGACCTATACAAATAAATTGTTGTATTGCCCTTTGCAACCGCCCCCCAAAAACTTAAAATCTATGGTCGGCTTTTTATTATAATTTTTGTCAATCCCTTTTTAGAAGAAAAAAAAAGTATTTTGTTTGTTTAAATGGGATATAAATGCATAAAATCATCAAATTATTTTCAAGTTCTCACTCGTTTTCTACCATAGTTTCGAAATCCTGCTGGCATAAAAAGTAAACCTGGCCTTGTGTACCTGTACATCAGGAGAGGCAATCCCAATTTGAAAAATCGCACAAAAATAAATGTATAGCAAATACTGACTAAAGACTGCAACACACTTTTGGCTCTGGAGGGCCCAAGAGTGCAGCATTTAGACAAATAAAAATGAAAAAATCTTCTCACTCGGTAGCTACGCTCCCTCGCACAATATCCTTCAAAACGTACAAGTAAATACTGAGAAAAGTGAAGTGTGAAAAAAGTATATGGCTTGTTTTTATACTATAGTTTTGCTAAGGACTGTAATTTTTTTAATACAACCAAAACTTCAAAAACCTGTGAGGGGGTAGTCACTTCCGTCACCTTCACCCCTCTCATTCACTATGCTCCCTCGCGCTTGCGTAATAATTGGGGGGGGGGTGAGCTTGGGTGGGAAGTCCCCTCTCCAAAATAAAATTCAAACATGGTTTATTTCTAATTCGATACCAGTAATAAGCAAATGTTGCTGAAATGGCATTTTCGCCCCACGGATGTACATCTGACCTTAATTTAATGACTAAAACCCCTGAGTTTCATGGGGCTCCACCCCTTGAACCCCGCTGGGGCTTTTCCCATGGACCCCACGCCAATTACGCTCCACTTGCTTTGCTCTACCTGATCATAAATACTTTAGCCCCCCCCTCCTCACTTTGAAAAACGTTGCCAGGGCCTGTGTAACATGTAAGAGTGGTGGTGATGCAGATTTGTTTCTGCCCTCCCCCCAAAAAAATGTTTTTGCTCATTACCCCACTGCTCCCTCGTCCCTTGCATTTCGTTATCGTCCCCCCCCCCCCTCCCCCCCCCCCCCCCGTCATGAAAAGAAATCGGCGCCCCTGGTGTACATGTATATACCATGCAGTGAGTTCAAACATTCAGGTATTTGAATGGTTTGAATTTATTGTCAGATTCGACTCAAATCATATTCAAAATACGGATACAACATACACTGGGAACAATCCCCAGAACTGAAACAGGAATGAAGAGCATATTCTATGAAGTGGGCCAGTTTGAATACCAACATTTGTAATAGGCTATGATTTGAATCTAATGCATGCAAAACTGTCTGGCTGTCTTTTCCTGTGTCAGTTTCGGTCCCTTCTTTGGTTAGTAAAGAGACCACTTTGTGCCCGGGACCACCTGTAAAATTTGTCAACAATCTTCACATTGCTAGCAGGTTTTACAGGTAGTTGACAACCAACTTCATCAGCTGAGAAGCACAGAGTGTTGTCTCAACACAACATTGTAAACCATGGATTATTATGAGGTGAAAAGAGATGAATGGAATGATGTCGCTGAAACACATGTATTAAAGCATTAAAAACTGAGAAATATCTGCCAAAACAGGGACAAAGTAAGAACAACAACAAAAATTTAAAAAAGACCAACCAACCAAGGTGCTGGCACCTAAAGGGCAATACAACATTCTTGTTTAGGCCTAGTAATACCTCAAGGAGTTCTTTACATCTTGCGATAACAAGGGTAATACCTCTAATTAAAAAGCATTGACCTATTAACCAAAACTCTAGTCAAATTCTTCCAATGATGATACTAT